AGAAAGAAAGAAAGAAAGAAAGAAAGAAAGAAAGAAAGAAAGAAAGAGAAAGACCTCTTGGCAGAGTTTAGTAGCTGACGCCTACCTATAATCCCAAAACTTTTGAGGCCAATGCATGAGGATTGCTGTGAGTTCCAATCCAACCTGTGATACTGAGGAAGACTGTCTGAAAAATGGGGGTGGTGGTAGTTCCCACTTAAAACTTTCCTCTGTCCATTTTGAGCTGGCTTTGAAACAAGGCCACGATAAGACTTGAATGGAGGTTCACAGGCCCTATTTGCGCTACTTCAACTTGTCCATCCAGAAAAAGAAGTGATTAGAATGCTTTTGATAGGTTACAAATTTTTTTAATTAAAAAATGGCAGGGTCTCATTATATAGATCAAGATCAGAGATTTGCCTATCTCAGCCTTTTGAGTGTTAGAATTTAAGGCAAGCACTACCATGAGCAGCCAAAAGTTTAAAAATTGAAAACTAAGCACTGTGAATGAATGCCACCTTTAGAAGTAACTCCCATTGTTCTAAAGCCGGGCCCTCAACCTGTATGGAATCCTTCCACACCAAGAGTGTTCTCTGAAGACTGATGACATGTGCTGAGTCCTCAGCTGTGACTCAGCACATGCAAATACAGAGGTGAGCTGTCTGTAGTCTCCACCCAAACTTTTGCCAAATTTAAAATGACAAAATTTCCTTCCAGGAACAATCTTAGTCTTTTCAACTGAAACATGATTCCTTCCAAAGTCTACATCAGTAGAAACGTCTTGCCCTGTCGTCCATTGTCAGCCCACCTCCGGGGGAACAGATCTCAGAACTGGTCCTCAGGACATTTGACTGGGTTCCCAGAGCTTCAGTGAATGTTGCAAGCCCATGCCCCTTGCCACCACAGTGCCTGGGTCTTCCCAGAGCGCTCTCATCACAACTCAGATCTACAGCGCTTCTGCTGCTTCTTCAATTACATACAGCCTCATTTTCCTCAGAGCTCCGTGAGCCCAAGGGCTTGCTCCTACAGCGGCTAGCAGCTTCAGTAAGTTTTCGGTCACAAGTTTACTTTAAAGGCTGAGTTCTCCTGCTGTGTGCATGTATTATGTGTACCCAACGAATGATGCTCGAATCACTTTAGAGTGTTTTTTGCTTTGGTAGGTGACAGCATGCCCACTGTCACATTGTTCAGTTGTTGACTGATTCCTTCAATCATTCGTTCCTGGCATGTCTGAATCATCCAAGGTGGTGCTGACCAGAATCAGGACCCACTAATGGCTCCACTGATTCATCCAGCCTGGTCTGGCAGCCCAGAGTCTCTCAGAAGAAAAAAAAAAATCCCTAGGGTTTGAAGCTTAAGTGTGGAAAGCTGTGGCTGGCACATAGCAGATGACTTAGGCGAAAGGGGAAGAGAAGTCAGCAGGGCCACAGGATGCTGGGAAAACACCTCCAGACAGGCCAAAGGCTTGGTGCAGGAGCCAAGCCCTACAACTCCACCCTCTTTCTTCGAGCATGGCTAACTTGTGTTATCCATGATCCTCTGGGGTCCCCTTCCCTGTTCTTTCTCCCTGTCTTCCCCCCACTGCTTCCTCACAACATCTGTCTAACAAGCTCCCTGGTACCCTGAGGTCCTTAGCTCAGCCTCTCCCCGGGGCTCTTCACAGTTTAGGGCGAGAAGACAACTCAAGCGGGAGTCTCTGGATTTCTTTTACATTGCTCATATTCTAAGCAGGTACAGGTCAGGTTTGAGAGCTGGGCGTGATGGTAAGATCTGTAATGCTCCACTTGAGAAATACAGAAAGGAGTACCAGGAGTTCAGGGTTCGCCTAGACCAGATGATGACTGAGTTCAGACTGGGCTAGATCTCAAGACAAAACAACCAAGCAGAGCTAGTATGTAAGGACCCAAAAGCTCAGTTTACTCGGTCAAACACACAGAACTCCCAAGTCTTACCTTTTTGACCACCGGTAGCAGGCTCTTCCCTGGCCACAGCAATTCAAACCTGGGATCCTGTGTCCCCCAGATCTTTTCATGATCATCCCTTCCCTGAAGAAGATATCACATTAAGCCATCATGTTCACACTCACAGTTCAAACTTGGCTTGCTCAGCCTCACAGCGCGGAGCTACATAAACCGACTCTCACATAGCACCCCTCCCCCACTTGCTTATGCTCTCTTTGTCAGGGTGGGCATGCCAGCAGAGACTCTTACAGGCAGTTTGGCCAAACGTAGCCCTTTCCACACCTGTGGGCCAGAGATTCTTCAACACAATGTACCTTCGTGCTAAATCCTCCCTGTAGCCACTAGGGGTACAGCTGAGATGGCATGTGGCTGCAACTGAGATGGGGAGTGCCCTCCTCTGAGTCCAGCACATTTTTACATGGCTTTACACACGGCTGTATCAACCAAGCCAAATGAAGAAAGGAGAGCAGAGCTGCTGGCTACCAAGCAGTGATATTTTCAGCGGGGCATGGTAGCATATGCCTATCAGCCCAGCATTTGGGTGGTACAGACAGATGAATCAGTAGTTCAAGGGCGTCCTCAGCTACATAAAAAGAGTTCCAGGCAAGCCATGAGACTCTGTGTCAAATCAAAATCTAGTATCCTGAGTTTGAAGGATATGCAATAACAGTAACTTGAGAAAAGGAAAATTATTTTGAAATAACTATTAGCATTGCTCTTGACTGAGATGAAAACTGTGAGCTCCGGGGCTGGAGTGATGGCTCAGTGGGTAGGAACGATCAATGCTCTGGCTGAGGACGCGGCACCCACATTGGTCAACTCACAGCCACCTGTAAGTCCAACTGCAGGGATCCCATTCCCCCTTCTGAACTCTGTGGAGGTGCGCGCGCGCACACACACACACACACACACGCACACACACAAACATGCATGTCCACATAGTTAAAATTAATTAAAAATCACTTAAAAGGTAAGCTCTTTATATGAGCAAGCCCTAGTATTGGGAAGGAAACATAGTCACTGATAAATTCCCTATCTATTTATACAACATACGTCACGAGGTATTATTTTAAAAATAATTATCTAGAGGAGCTATAAGTAGCTTGCATACATGGTTGGGTGATGGCACATTGCGTGTTTGAGCTCTCATTCCTGCGAGAATACTGTATGTTTTGAACATTCCCACTGCTGGGTTACAGGGAGCTGCTGTTAGCACACCAGAAAGATGGGCGAGCTGCAGCCACTGCTTCCTGTAGGGGCCACTTTGCTTCCCATGAGCAAGTCACTCTAGTTCTGTCTGGAGGGAGAAGCCCATGGAAGGCCTGGCAGGCTCATCATTGTCACCAGCTGCTACATAAGGCATTCATACCCACCAGCTTCTTTACATCTGTCTGCAAAGACCCAGCCCTGGAACTTACAGGCCCTTTGGTCCCAAATCATGGATGAAAGACAGCTGGCTTACATCAAGGAACTCTGTCTAAAACAAAAACAAAAGAACAAACAAAAACACTTTAGAAAATAAAATAAATCAGAAGTAAAGGAGGAAGAAAAAGAAGACGACGTTTGTGGGTTACAAAAGCCATGTATTAGGTGCTACTGGGTATGAACGTGTTGGCTTACTCCACAGACTAGAGAGGTCAATAACAACAGCACCGCACAGAGAAAGGGCTAAGTACAAGCTTACGGGCCCAGCGTGGTAGTGCAAACCTGACACACAGCACTTGGGAGCTGAAAAGAGGATCCTTGGACCCTGTCAGCAACGGCCAGATTGGAAAAAAAAGATAAGCTGGGAATGTGGCTCTTTTGGTAGAGTGCTGGCTCAGCCAGCGCAAAGTCCCTGGTTCTGTCGGCAGCAGCTCACAAACAGGTCTCTGTTCAGAAGTTCAAGATCATCCCTTGCATCCTAATAGCAAATTAGAAATAATACAAAAACTTGACAGAGAAGACATTCGCCCAGGAATGGGGGGGGGGGGGGGGGGGGGGGGGGGGGGGGGGCGGAGGAGATGGGTAATTGGACAAGCAACAGAGTCCTGTGGGAGAAGCAGCCAGCCACAGGACAGCCATAACAGGGGCTATCTCTGACATGAACTCAGTGGCTGGCTCTTTGATCACCTCCCCTAGGGGTGTACAGACTTGCCACAGAGGAAGACAATGCAGCCAGTCCTGATGAGACCTGATAAACTAGGGTCAGGTGGAAGGGGAGGAGGTCCTCCCCTATCAGTGGACTGAGATAGGGGCATGGGAGGAGATGAGGGAGGGAGGGAAGAATTTGGAGGGGGTGAGAGAGGGGGCTACAGCTGGGATACAGAGTGAATAAATTGTAATAAAAATATATTTTAAAAAACCTTCAGAGCAGGGTGGGGGTGGGGCTGTACCCTCAGAGGAAGGAGCACCAGGTTTGTAACTGGGATTAACAAAGGAAACAGCCATTTTTCCTTAAAATATTTATATGTGTTTAAAAATATCTAATACCAGTATTGAAAGAAAAACAAGAACTGTCTCAGATCTGTCAGGACTTTTAAGCATCAACCAACTCTTGAGCATCTTTCCTGAAGAAAGTAGGTTTTTCAAATTTAAAAGGACTTAAGTAACTTTTTTAAATGCCCCACTGAATATATCTACACACAGCAATTTGAAAATTAAGGATTCTAAAAGTCCAGGTCTTTGGTTTGCATTTCTCATATAAAACACGATGACTCAGCACTGCCCATTTTTTTGTCTGATTTTCAGAGAAAAAAAAAAATTCAGTTGGAGAAAGTAGTTACTTAGAAATGACAGACTATCAATGTGAGATCCAAAATCTTTTTATAATCCTAAACCATAGCTTCTCAGTTTATCTCCAAGGAGCAGACAGATAATGTCTAGCCTGGTTTTCCTCTGAAGAAGCCATCATTAAGTCACAGTTAATTTGTCTAACATCACAGAACTAGGAACAGAAGAATAAGACATGGAAGCAATGATCCATGGAAAGCAAGCCCAGAATGGGGTACTCACATCTGTAACCCCAACACTCAGAAAGTTACAGGGCAGCCTGGTCTCCACAGCAAGCCCTTGTCTCAAAGACAAACAACAACAACAATAAACAACAAACAGTAAACAGGTGTGGTACCTCATGCCTGTAATTCCAGACTTTGGTCTCAGCCAAGTTCATCCTCTATTACATAGCAAGCATGGGGATAGCCTGGGCTACCATGAGACACTGTCAAGAACAATCAAAAAACCAAGGGAACCACATGTTCACTAATATATAGATATTTTCTTTTTCAAAAATAACTTTTGTTTATTTGGTGTGTGCGTGTACGTGCCTGTCATCAACTTCTGGGAATGGCTCCTTTCCTTCTACTGTGTGTGTGTGAGTCCTGAACATCAGGGTTGGTAGCAAGCGCTTTCACCCACTGAGCCATGTCACGTGTGTGCTAATTTAAAATTGAGAATTTTCTTCAGGAAACTGAGGCAGGAGGATTACTAAAAGTTTAAGGCCAACTTGGTCTATATAGTGAATTCCAGAGTAGCCAAGGCTACATAGTGAGACCCTGCTTCAAAAAACCCACCCAGGGGCTACCAGGATAGCTCAATGGGCAGAGGCACTTGTTGCACTGGCCTAAGGACCTGGGCTTGACCCCAAGGTCCCATGGTAGAAGGAGAGAGCAGACATCTGACCTCCATGAGTATGTGGTGAAACTCATGTGCCTAAACTTCATACACACACACACACACACACACACACACACACACACACACACACACAC